GAATAAAGTTGGATCTGTGTTAAATTCTGCATGAGTGAGGGTTCTGTGCAGGAAATAAACCCCTCTAGATACTTCAAGTAGAAAGGGATTTAATAGAATTGGGTTTTTACTAAATTGCTAAAAAAAGTTGCAGGGGCAGAAACTGGAGACTCAAGGTCATACTACCATCTGTGACTCAGAAAGCTAATGCTGCTGCCACCACCAACAGCATTACCTCTTACCCAGGAAGCAGGTGACAAGACACTAACCTGGAATCTGGTTGCTACAAACAACTGTCTACACTTGCACATCCACAGAAGAAGATGGCCTCTGCCTCCTTTCTATCTTCCAAATCTTGACCAAATGTATATTATTGATAGAATCTAAGCTTTTCAGAACCTACAAAGTCTGCAAAGCTTCACATTGGTGGGAGGTATGGGACCTAATACCAAGTGCCAAGACAATACCTAACATATATTCTTATATTAAAATAAAGTTCAGATAGATGAAAATTATTTATAAAAAAACTGAAATGAATCTATCAAAATGTTCTAGAAGAAACCATGGGTGAATTTACTATCTTAGAATAAGAATATGAAATTCTGAAGCCAAAAAGGAAAACAAATGGATCTATCTGCATAAAAATGAAAAAATAGGGCTATGGGTGTAGCACAGAGATAAAACACTTGCTTAGCATGTGTGAGGTCCTGGGTTCAAAACTCAGCAACACACACACACACACACACACACACACACACACACACACACAAAGCTTCGTTTAAAAGCTGTATTTCTAAGAGCAAAACTCTGAACATGAGTACTACATAAAATTATGGTCCATCAAATGACAGAACACTCTTAGGTCAAGTAAAAGGAGAGATTTAAAATGAAGACGTTACCTTTGAATAACATAAACACATTTGCAAACATATTCTTATGTGATGTAACCTTATGCAGTTATCACATCGTTTTTTAAAAAGTCATTAGGAGTTATCTTGGTTGGATTTTATGGTACCTTCTTTTTCTTCTTTGTAATTCTAATTTAGAATTTTTAAACTTTCCAACTTTCTCCTTCTTTCTCCGGAAAAAAACCCATAATTTTTGTAACTATATATTTTATTTTTTCTTAGAATATTCATGATTATTTTTGGTTTTCTAGTTTAAACATACATCATTTCAAAATTACATAAAATTGTGTTTTTTAGAAGTATCTAGCAAGACAGTTCACTATGAAATCACTCAATGACTCAATTATTTTACAAATAAAACTGTGAATTTCAGTTGAAAGAAAAACTGYACTAATAGGAAATAATTCTATCATAYATACACATTTACAGTTTTTACTTTTATATCTTCATTTAAAAATCATTTTCCCCCCAAAACTATACTTCAGCATAAGATAGATAAGTATTTAATACATGATTAATATATATACACAAGGGGCTTTGAAAATTCTTTAAGAAATTCTGTTCCAGAGGTTAAAACAAAAGTTTAGAAAGCATTTTAATATCTTATCACCTATAAAGCAGCAACAATATTTAAATTATTAAAGGTGRCAAATCCAACAATACATAATCATAAACAGTCCTTTAAGAAATGTATTTGAAAGTCATTGTTCCATAAAATATTTACATTGTTTAAATTACATGATAGTAACATTTTCTTTTTCTATTTTTAATTGAACATATTAATTAAAATAAACCTCTAAACCACTTCCCTGAAGCTACTCTTCTTTAGTAAAGGAGACTTTATCCTTGGGTTTATTCAGCATCTTTATATCATCCAACAGCTTTTTGGGTGTTAAAATATGTGTAGAACCTGATAGAAGAAAAGAGAAAAGATAAATTTTTAGAGGCCAGCAATTAAATTGATTTTCCTTGGCTTAATATTTTGTCTTATTCTTCAAATATGCAAAGTGCAATAGCTTTGGGGCAAATTAACAACATTTCTATAGACATCTTCTTGAAATATGCCTATATTGTACTAGTTCAATTGTTCCTTGTCTCTGAACATGCTCAGTAATCCATCAGAAACACAGCCAATTCCTAGTGTTCTGTCTACTTTGTACCACATTTTTTTTTAATATTTATTTTTTAGTTGTAGTTGGGCACAATACATCCATTTTGTTTTATTTATTTTTATGTGGTGCTGACGATYGAACCCAGGGCCCCCACATGTGCAAGGCGGGTGCTCTACCGCTGAGCCACAACCCTAGCCCCTGTACCACATATTAAAGAGCAAAACTGAGAATTTTCTCTATCCTCATAACAGAACCCCAATAGTTATCATTTAGTAACAGAACRTCTAAGCAATACTGACATATAAATCCTGAACTTCCACAGGTCAGGAGAGTTTACCCATCAATGGCTTTGACTGAAGTTCTTTTTTTTTCTGGTATCAGGGATTGAACCCAAGGACACTTAACCACTGAGCCACATCTCCAGCCCTTTTTACATTTTATTTTGAGACAGGGTTTTGCTAAGTTGCTTAGGGCCTCACAAAATTTGAGGCTCGCTTTGAACTTGAGATCCTCCTGTCTTAGCAACTTTTAGTTGAGTTGCTGGGATTATAGGTATGCACCATCACACCCAGCTTAACTGAAATTCTTAAAACTGAATTCCTCATAGGCCTTACCTATGTGGCATTAATGTCCATAAAATGTCACATTCATGTCCACAAAAATTTGTTAATATTTCTGAAGTAAACATGTATTTATGTGTCCAAAATAACTTAATGATCAGAGGAAACAGAATCATAGGATATAATATTTTAAAGGAACAAGGTTATTTCCCCCAAATCAGAATATTTAAAAATAAAATTATCAAGCTGGGCATAGTGGTGMAAGCCTGTAAGACCAGCTACTCCATAAGCACAATGCATTTCAGAATATGTAATTCCTCAGCTACTTCAGGGGCTGAGGCAGGAGGATCACAAATTGAAGTCCAACCTGGGCTACTTGGCAAGACACTGTCTCAAAGTAAAAGAAGTGGGGATGTTGCTCACTGGAGTGTTTGCCCAGCATGCATGAGATGTCTCTGAGTTCAATCCCCAAGCCTATAAACAAAATAAAATAATCAAAAATATCAAATCATATAAAATACATTTTATGGTTGAAAATTTATTTTTGCATTCATCAATTTAGTCTTTTTTTAAAAAAGAGAAAGAGAGAATTTTTTAATATTTATTTTTTAGTTTTTGGTGGAAACAGCATCTTTATTTTATTTTTATGTGGTGCTGAGGATTGAACCCAGCGCCCTGTGCATGCCAGGTGAGCACACTACCACTTGAGCCACATTCCCAGCCCATCAATTTAGTCTTAATTGATGAAAACTGACACAATTTTACATATTCATTTTTGTATTTAGTATTTGTTTTAAAATACAAAAAAAGGAAAACAAAAATCTTACCAATAATAACTTCACAGGATTTATGTGCCTGAGAAACTTCATAAGCACAACGCATTTCAGAATATGTAATTCCTCCAATTACAAAAATAATCAGCTTTGATCCATTTTTTCGGTCCAGTTCTAAATAATTGGTTCTAGGTTTCTGGCGAGCACTTAAAAGTAAAGGAAAAAAGTGAACATGTTAAAAAAATTTCCAAACCTATACTTTAAAGACTTTTAAAAAGCCCAATTTAATCAAATTCAACTGTGATACCAATTATATTGATTTTTAAAATATTTATTTTACTTATTTTTGCAGTACTGGAGATTGATCCCAGGAACACTCTAACACTGAGCCACCTATCCAGCCTTTTTAATTTTTGGGACAGGGTCTCACTAAGTTGCCTGGGATGGTTTCAAACTTAAGATTCTCCTGCTTTGGCCTCCTGGGTTGCTAGGATTATAGGCATATATCTTGCCTGACCCAAATATATGAATTTTAAGGAAATGACCTAACTACAGTATGACTAGAGCACCCAGAATTAGCTAGGATAGCTCTGTCTAGCTTAGCATTTTAACCTTAAAGTAGAACTAATATCCTCCCTTATTTATTTGATACGAAGAAATAATGTACCTGAAAAGTCTGCAGCTTACTGAAATTAAAAAGAAAAATTGGTAACTGGCATTGAAACAGTAAGGTTTTGAAGATATGAAAGGGAAGTGGGGCACATACGGATTTGGAGCCGATATATTCCTGGAATTCAGCAAATATGATGGTAGGAGGCTGGGTTGTAAAGTTAGGCACAGGTTTTTATTCTTATTTTGTTTATTTTTGACTAGCTATTATACTCAGCAAATTTCTAAGCCTCTCTTTAAACCCTGAAATTTGCTTAAGAACTAAATGAAGTATTGTATAGGACACAGGAAGTATATAATCAGGTACTCATTATATACACAGGAAGTATATAAGCAGTGAATAAATAATAACTCTTATTTTGGTCATTTCTTCTCCCAGACTGTTCTAGATCTGCACTGTTCGGTATAGTAGCTACTAACCACAAAGAGATTAATGAAAAATTAAATAGCGTAAAAAATTCAGTTCCTCACTCACTCATATCAAGGAACCCAAATCCACTATGGCTAGTGACTATTATGCTAGACAGTGAAGACAGAGAACATTTCCAACAATGCAGAAAGTTCTAGTGGATAGGACTGCTCTAGAGTATAAGAACTAATTTTTTGGTTTACATCTTCTACTGGTAAAAATTTTGAGCTTCTACAAAAAATTTAACAAAAAAACCAAATAACCTAATCAATAAATGGGCAAAGGAACTGGAACATGTACTTCACTGAAGAAGAAATATGAAYGGTCAACAATATGTTCAACATCTCTAATAATTAGAGAAATGCAAATTAAAACTACACTGAGATTCTATTTCACCCCAGTTAGAATGGCAATTATCAAGAATACAAGTAATATCAAGAATACAAGAATGTGGGGAAAAAGGTACACTTATACATTGCTGGTAGAACTCCAAGTTGGTGCAACCACTCTGGAAAGCTTGGAATAAAACCATCATTTGACCCAATTATCCCACTCCTCAGTATATACCCAAAGGACTCAAATCAGCATACTACAGTGACACAATCACATCAATATTTATAGCAGCTCAATTCACAATAGCTAAACTATGGAACCAACCTACATGCCCTTCAACAGATGAATGGATAAAGAAAATGTGGTATATACATGATGTAGTATCACTCAGCCATAAAGAAGAATGACTTTATGACTCTTTGCCACTTAATGGAAACTATTGTGCTAAGTGAAATAAGCAGTCCCACCGGGCACGGTGGCTCGGGAGGCTGAGAAGGGAGGAAASCAAGTTCAAAGTCAGCCTTAGCAACTTAGTGAGGCCCTAAGCAACTCTGTGAGATCCTGTCTCTAAATAACACAAAATAGGGCTGGGGATGTGGCTCAGTGGTTGCCTGCCCTTGAGTGCAATCCCCAAAAATCAAAGGCCAAAGTTCTCTCTGATATGCAGATTCTTACACACAACAAGCGGGAAGGAGGGAAGAACAGATGTTCAGTAGATTAGACAAAGGGGAATGAAGGGAAGAAAGTGGGGATGGGACTAGGAAAGAGAGTAGAATGAATCTGACATAACTTTCCTGTGTTCATATATGAATACATGACCAGTGAAACTCCACGTCATGTAAAACTACAAGAACGGGATCCTAATTAGACTAAGTTATATTCCATGCATGTATAATATGTCAAAATATACTATCCTGTCATGTATATAAAAAAATTAAAATGAAAAAACAAGCTTCTAATTATACTGTTATATTGTGTGCATGTATGAATACGTAACCAAAAAATTCCATTATTATGTACACTACAATGCACCAATAAAAAATATAGAAAAGAAAAAAATCTGAGCTATTTGAAAGGTACATATTTCAAAAATAAACATTGACATACATTTATAAATAAACATTAATTCATAAATTATATGTGTATACTAGTATATATTAACAAAAAGCTTAATATCTCCTTTTGGAGGTAGCCTAGCATGCATGGGGYGCTGGGTTCAATCCTCAACACCACATAAAAAAATAAAATAAATATATTGTTTCCACCTAAAACTAAAAAATAAATATTAAAAAAAATATATATATATAAATAACCAATAGACCACTTTGGGGGTCACTGTTCCAGATGACCTCTAAGGCCCTGGAATATGGGATCCCACAGTAAACTTTTAATAATGTTTTTTGCCTTTGGCAAGAATGATGGTGGTAAATTAAGGGGAAAAAACYGGTAGTTGGATTTGAAAAATGAAAATTGGAACAAGACACACTCTTAGCTCTCAACACACAATAAGGCTGACTTAAGAAATTTTTCAAGGGAGAGGAATAGTTAAGAAAGCAAAAGAAAAGAAGATAATAYTGCTCACAATAATTATGTGACAAGTATATTTGAAAAATTAATAAGAACTTCTAAAACAAAAAAATAAAACTGTAGAGATGGTTTAAATAGATTAGATTAGGCACAAATTTAAGAGATAACTAAAGACCTGAAAACTAAATTTGAAAGAAAACTAAATTCAAAGAACAATTTCCATAATGAAACACAGAAATAAGAGATATTTAGTTAGAATGAGGAGTTCAAACAAAACCAAGACTAAAGAAATGGCAATATTGGAAGCATTTATGAAAGATGTGAATCCTCAAATTCAGGAAAACAAATATAAGGAAAGAAAAATAAATCTTTAGATAGACTTAGTATAGGGCACGTATAGATACCAAAGACAAAAAACAATCAGGAAAAGGCAAATTACCCACAATAGTGTAACAAGGCTGAGAGAAAACACACCCTCCTTCACAACTATCTCAAGACCTAAAACAACAAAATATTATCTACAAGTGTTGGGTAAACAGAACTGTGCACCTAAATATTCATAGCCATCTAAGGCTGCTATGTAAGAACAAGGCCAAATGAAAATATTTCCAGACAAATAAAACCATGAATACTCTACCACTAACAGACCTCCACTGAAAGAAATAACAGGAAATAGTTTAGAAAGAAGACAACTGAGGATGCAAGAAAGCACTGAGCAATGTAACTGGTTAACATTCAAATACAAYTGAATAAAAAATAATGCTGAGCATTTATATGAGGGGTAAAAAAGATATAAGGTAAACTTAAACAAAGTATATGAGCTAGGCACCTACAATCCCGGCTACTTATAAGGCTAAGGCAAGAGAACTATTAGTTTAAGGACAGCTTGTCTCTGCCTTAAAAAATAAAAACGGCTGGTGATGAGTGGTGAAGAACTCCTGGGTTCAATCCTTAGTACTGGAGGGAAAAAAAAAATGTATATAACATTTAAGGGGGGCTGGGGATGTGGCTCAAGCGGTAGCGTGCTCGCCTGGCATGCGTGCGGCCTGGGTTCGATCCTCAGCACCACATAAAAATAAATAAATAAAAAAGGTATCATGTCCATCTACAACTGAAAAAAACAAACAAAAACAACAATACAAAAACAATGTACACAAAACTCTGTAGCTTTGATAATTTAAACTGGCAGAACTGTTTCAGAGCAAGAAGACCTACAGCTTTGATAGCCTAATACTGTAGTCTCAATTTGAGCTTGGCAGCAAATCAGTCAGAAATTTAATATGTAAACCTTGAAAATCTTGAAAATGAGAAATCTAAGGAAGGCAAGGATAAAGCTCTCTAGACATTAACTGACTGCTAAAACTCTGCATGCAASAGAATCCTGAGAACACTTAGGGAAAAAAATGAGATGGAAAAAAAAAAAGTGGGGATTGAAGAACTAGCTATATGGAATGTATTCCTTAATGCACCCTTAGCTTGATTAGAAGAGGATGGAGACTGTACATGCTTAAAGTGCTTAAGCACAACTTCTGCACAGATAAATTGCTGACCTCTAAATCACACAGAACCAACCATTAAGAGCCAAGCTAAAGGGTTAAAAAATGCAGCAATGATATCAGTGGCTATATAAACAAAAGAGAAAGAGTCCATAGTTTAAGTCTACACAAATTACAACAAAAAGCAACTCAGAGTTGCTTCAATATATTATCTATAAGGTCCAATTTTCAACCAAAAATTAGTAGCTATGCAAAAAAACAGGGAAGTGTGATTCATGTTTTGGGGAAAAAAGTCAACAGAAACTGACTAGAAAAGTAGACCCATATGTTGGATCTAGCAAAGACTTCAAAGCAGTTATTACAAAAACGCAAAAAAAAAAAAAAAAGAAAAGAAAAAAAAATCACTAACCAATAGGGTTTTTCAACAGAAATGGAACTAGGATTTGAAGTGAAGCTCAGTGGTAGAGTACTTGCCTAGCATTAGTGAGGCTCTGGGTTTGATCCCCAGCATTCCAAATAAGAAGGGGGGGGGGGGGRAGAGAGAGATGAAAATAAAAAAAAACCAAATGTGAAAAGTATGTTAAGTGCAATGAAAAAACCAGCAGATGGTCTCAAAAGCAGATTTGACATATCAGAAAAATCCGTGAACCTAAATATAGACAAGTAGGTATTACATATCACAAGAATAGCAACAACAACAAAAAAAAAAAAAAAAAGAAAAGAAAGAAAGAAAAAGAAAGAGTTTCTGTGATCCTAGGGGCAGTGTCAAGTCCTCCAACGTTTTGCATAATAAGAGTTTTGAAAGTCGAAGAAATCATGCCTGAAAACTTCCTGAATTTATCATCATAAAGACACAATCAAAAATATGTTATGTATAACTGTAATGCACTAATAAAAAACATTTTAAAAAATCGAAAAAAAGGGGCTGGGGATGTGGCTCAAGCAGTAGCGCGCTCGCCTGGCATGTGTGCGGCCTGGGTTCGATCCTCAGCACCACATACTAACAAAGATGTTGTGTCCGCCAAGAACTAAAAAATGAAACATTAAAAATTCTCTCTCTCTCTCTAAAAAAAAGATCTCTCTCTCTCTCTCTCTAAAAAAAAAAAAAAAAATCTAAAAAAAAATTAACTTGCAAATCCAAGAAACTCAACAAACTGCAGGAAGAATAAACACAAAGAACTGCACCTAGACACAAAATAATTAAACTGCTGAAAGCCAAAGATTAAAAAAAAAAAAAATTCTTGTAAAACACAACTCAAAATATTGTTTAGGACACAAATATAGATAGGAAAAGCACAAGGACAGATTAAAAACACAAAATTAAGGATAGGGAAGAAAGGAAAAATAATAAAAGAGTAATATACAGAAAGTGTGAATTATATTTATAATGATTTATTTGTTAAGCTGGGTACTTAAGTATAAGGGAATACATTATAATATTCTCTATATCTTTCTGAATGTTTCAAATATTCCATCATAAAAATTGTCAAAAAGGCCTCTGCTATATGAAAACAAAGGTGGGGGACTTTTTATTTATTAAATAAATGAAATATTTATGAAAATATTTTTTTAAATAAACTATGTTTTCATATTGCTTACCTGAACTCATTTAAAACAGGTTACAGCTAAAGAAAAACTACCTCTGATGTGACTATATGTGTCAAAGAGAGTTGCCAAATACGAGAACACCTATGTACTACTTTCAATTATTAGTCTGTAGCATCACACTGAAAATTTCACTGACTTTCATTTATAAGTTTTACCTTACAGCTCCAGAGCCGTTCCAAACTGCTGGACACTGAGAACAATACGGCCACTCCTTTGAATCTAATCTATTATCAATGGCATCCTAGAGAAGAAAAGAGTTAACAACATTAAAAAGATATTTTAAGTTGAAGATTTCTGTTTGTTTTGAGTGAAGGACAAAATTTGTATTTATAATAAATAAACATTAAGAATATAAACATATAACAAGATTAGTCCTTTCTTTTTTTTTTTTTTAAATATTTTTTAGTTGTTGATGAACCTTTATTTTTATTTACTTGTATGCGGTGCTGAGAATCGAACCCAGTGCCTCACACATGCTAAGCAAGCGCACTAGTGCTGAGCCACTACCCCATCTCCAAGATTGGTCCTTTCTGAAACTCAGTTGCTTCAAAAACTAACACTATCATTTACTTACTTATTCAACTACTATTTATTGAAGACCTATCTTTCTTCATTAGGAAGGTCCCTGCATTGGCACGAGGACCTTTTTTTAACTATAGAGTGCTAGGGGTTTCTAAATAGTATCCCAGTTCTGACATACCTTCAAGACTTTGTCATTAACAGCAATGACTCTAAAGTAGGTCRCACACACCCGGCTTAGAGATACTCAAAACAATCCAATGACATGAAGAAAGTTTTTCATTTCACTTTATTTGCTAGAATTTTCCCTTTGTTCAGTGGTGCATTTTAAGAAATACTTAAGTATAATGGATATATTTTATACAGAGATTATATATGCTTTATTAGTATGTTAATCTATCACTTATAAAAAGATTCATGTTCACATTTTTTATAATTAGGTCTATATGATCAAAATTTTGGAGCTGGGTATAGTGGTGCATGCCTATAATCCCAGTGACTAGGGAGGCTAAGGAAGGAGGATTCCAAGTTCAAGGCAGGCTCAACAACTTAGCAGGCTTTCAGCAATTTACCAAGACTCTGTCTCAAAATAAAAATTAAAAAGGGCTAAGGATGTAGCTCAGTGGTTAAGCACCCCTGGCTTCATCCTCTGGTACAAAAAATAATAATAATTTTTTTGGACATCACTGTATTACAGACAATACAAATAGTATAGACAAGCAGGCACAAGAAGTGAGCATAAAGTAGTCMAGACTATTTCAATAAGATCATAAGGAAGAAATTGTGTTTCAGGAGAAATCCTACAAGCCCAAGATTGTCACTGATTTAATAAGCAAATTACTGTTAAAGTGATTTTTAAATATTTATTTTTAAAATACTAGCTTAAGATAAATCACTTAGTTTTCTGTAATTGCTGAAGGGGAAAAAAGTTACATTGCAGAAAACTAAGTTCTTTAGATTTTTCATGTAAGTTTACACATGTATGAATTAATCTAGCAAAACAAAAAAAAATCATAGTAATATGTACCAAATTAGCACTCAGAGGAAAGTACAAATTGAAGTTTAAGTCAAAGGAAAGCTGGAATAAATTACTATTTTATTGAGCTCATAAGGTAATTTTTAAAAAAATACGTACTGTGTTCACTTCGTAATTCTCTGCTTTGCACAGAGCATTTTTTTTTTTTTAATGAACACAACACAATGCCTTTATTTTTATGTGGTGCTGAGGATTGAACCCGGGTCCCACCCATGCTAGGGGAGCACTCTACCCCTGAGCCACAATCCCAGCCCCCTCATAAGGTAATTTTTAAATTAGTTCATTTTACAATTTCCTATGATTGAATACTATTTTCTAGGAAAAAACAGTTCTAAACGCATTATTCATATGTTAGATCTAATAACAACTATATGAAGTTTATATTTTAATCACTAATATACTACTAAGAGTACTGGCACTTAATGGTTTCTAACAGTGGTATATATGTGAATGTTGTTCTGTTGAATTTTCATTCACATAATTCCACTTATACTACCTATAGTTATTTAAAACAATAGTATTGCTTTTCATAAAGCAGATGTGTGCTTATTTTTATTTACTTATTTATTTTGAGACAGACAGTGGTGTGTTTTTCTTAGTTAAGAATCTTCAAGAGCATCCTCTCCTCCTTTGACCCACATGTAGCCTTTTTTGGTGAATCCACCAAGCATTGCAGAAAATTCCTGCCCCATTAGACATACTCCAATGACAGCTAAACATAAAGAGTTCAAGAGTGCTCTACAGAAGGCATTCAGAAGTAAGTAGAAACTTAATGATATTTACCTCCATAATATCTTTGATAAAAGGTGTCCATCGAGAAAGTTGAAAAGTTTCTTCTGCAGACCGATCCTTTCTTAATGGTTTGCCTTGTTGAGACTAATATCAATAGAGGAAAAAAAATTAAAAACCAGTAATTTGGGGCTGGTGTTGTGGCTCAGTGGTAGTCACTCACATGTGTGAGTCACTAGGTTCAATTCTCAGCACCGCATATAAATAAATGAATAAAATAAATGTCCATCAACACTAAAAAATATTTTTAAAAACCCAGTAATTTTATTCAGTAATATAATAATTTTATGTTTCCTAACAAAGATATTTAATTTATCAGAAAATACTATATTGTATTTGACTTAAAACTAAGAGTGGGCGGGGGATATAGCTCAGTGGTACAGGACTGAACCCTGTATTCAATCCCCAGTAACACAAATGAACAAAAAATCAAGAGTGGAAGTACTTCCTTAAAAAAAATGAAGTAGGTATAGTCACATAACTTCACTGAACAATATTTGAGCTGTGTAGGGAGGAAGAGCATGAGAAGAAGATTACCACTAAATAGGGAAGAGAGGTGGGAGGGAATGGGAGGGAGAAGGGGAATTGCACAGAAGATGGAAGGAGACCCTCACCGTTATACAAAATACATGTATGATGATGTGAGGGGGAAGAAAAAAAAAAGAAATGTGTCACATTAGATTGGGTAGAGAGAGGTGATGGGAGGGGAGGCGAGGGGAAGGGGGGATAGGAAGGGAAGCAGAATAAAACAGACACTAGTATTGCTGTATGTATATACGTGGCCATATAACCAATGTGATTCTGCAACCTGTACACTTGGAAAAATGAGAAATTTATGTTTTCAAATGTATGATATGTCAAGATCATTGTATTGTCATGAGCAACTAATAAAAAAATGTAAAAAAATATTTGAGCTGTAGTGCTAAAATTTATGAGAGCATAAGGAAATACATTTATTCAAATAAAAGTATCAAAATAATAGGAAAGAATGGGATTCTGGAAAGAATGGGAATCTTTAAAAAAAATTTTTTGTAGTTGTAAGTGAACACAATACCTTTACTTTATTTATTTTTATGTGGTACTGAGGATTGAACTCAGTGCCTTAAATGTGTTAGGTAAGTGCTCTACCACTGAGCTATAACCCTAGCCCAAGAATGGGATTCTAAATAGAAGTTCTTCCAAACTTAACTTTGAGCCTAGATTTTTAAAGCAACAGAATATAATTATTTTTTGTGCTATATTCCAATTCAAATGTRTAACAAAATGACAATTGCAATAAATGAATCATTAAAGAGAAAAGAACAAAGAACAAATTGTAACAGAACCCATAGAATACAAATTCACTAGAAAATCGTTATCTGTCCAAAGTACTCTCATATGGAAATGACAAGAAATCAGCATTTTTAAGTTTTAATTGCTTAGTCAAAATCTATAGTATGAAATTAAGAAGACTGTCTATATGAATTCCCACATTTAAAAAAAACCAAACATGATTAACTCAAAAACTCCACACATACATATATGTAAGAATACACACACACACACACACACACACACACTCACACAATGTAAGATTTCTTACTTGGGGAACAATGGGAACACCAAGGTAACTCCAGTTACGAATCATGTCACTCTCATTTTCTATCTTTACATTCTGGATCAACCTGTCCAAATTTTCTTCCGTAGTTCCTTAGATACGTAAAAAATATTAGTGTGTACTCAATTTACATAATTGCTACTGCAATCAATTCTAGGTTACATATACCACAAATAAAGCTTTTGAAAAAGCAAACAGTCCAAAAAAAAAAAAAACAAAACAAAAAAAAAAGCAAACAGTCCATTTATGTCCCCTTCAGTCTTCTAATTCCTATTTTCCCTTGTATTTACCTTAACCAACTTAAGCCACTACCTTTGAGTTTCCAAAGATTCTCTTATGATTAGTAGAAAACTATTTATTAAAAAATGATTGTAGAACTGGGTATTTTAATGCGTTAATGAAAATAAACAAAATATCAATTACCATTAGTACTGAAGATATAAAGTAGGATTGCTCTTATTTTATCACAATTATCATGATTTTTGTTGAGTAGAACTGGAAGAAGTACTCTCATAGCATCTTTCACCTTCTGTCCTTCTGCATCAGTTCCAAGTGCCAGGTCCTTAATGAAAATAAAAGTCAGTGGCCTTGAGCTGGGGATGTGGCTCAGCGGTAGAACACTCGCCTAGCACGTGCAAGGCCCCGAGTTCAATCCTCAGYACCACATAAAAATAAATATAATAAAGGTATTGTGTCCTACTACAACTAAAAAAAAATATACATACATATACATATACATTATATATATATATATATAAAAGTCAGTGGTCTCTAATCCAAATTCATTTTTTATTTAAAAATACCTATTATGAAGATATCAAATTTTAACAAAACACACATTTCTTTCTTTTTTTAACTTTATTTTTATTTGTTTATTTTTATGTGGTGCTGAGGATCAAACCCAGGGCCTCACATGTGCAAGGCAAGTGCTCTACCACTGAGCTACAACCTCAGCCCCCAGAACACACATTTCACAGGAAAATGTGGACATCATTTGTAAACTATTTGTTGTACAAAATGCAAAAGGTCAAAAAGTAAATCAGAGAAGAAAATCATTAATCTAAACCTATGCTATCCAATATGGTAGCCACCAGCCACACGTGGCTAGTAAGCACTTGAAATGTAGTCAATCTGAATTAAGATATGCTCTGGGTGTAAAATACCAGATTTTGAATAATTGGTGTGAAAAAGAATAAAATATTTCATTAATAATTTTATGTTTATATGTTGAAATATTTTGGGTGTATCAGGTTATGTGAAACATTTTTAAAATATATTTATTTTAGTTATAGGTAGACATAATACCTTTATTTCATTTTTATGTGGTGCTGAGCATTGAACCCAGTGCCTCACGTATGCTAGGTGAGCACTCTACCACTAAGCCATAACCCCAGCCCCAAGTCAAACATATTGTGAAAATTAATTGTACTTTCTTTTTCCCTTTTTAATGTGGCTACTAGAATAGTTAATATTATATACAACTTGCATTCTGTTTCTGTGAAGAGTACAATGATCTAATTAGTTGAAACATTATACATAAAGCTTCTTAAAACAAATATAATGTGCCTATGCAGTTCTCTGCATATTTAATCCTGTACTCAAATAATGCTCCCAAAACCTAAATCACTCCATTCAACCAAAATACATAATCATAGATTAGAAAGGACTGTTTACTAAGACACCTCCACCAACATGGCACTATTGGGAGGTAGTAGRAATTTTAAGAAGTGGGGCCTCCTGGGAGATCTTTAGGTCATTGGGGGGTATGCCCTTGAAAAGGATAGTAGAACTCATACCCGTTCTTTTTTCCTCTTTGATTTCTGGCTGCAATACAAGCAGTTTTGCTCTGACATGTACTGATGCCATGTGCTGCCTCACCATAGGACTAAAAAGAAACAAGGCCAACTGATCATGTACTGAAACCTACAAAACTGAGCTTTGAGGGGCTAGGGTTGTGGCTCAGTGGTAGAGCGCTTGCCTTGCATGTGCGAGGCACTGGGTTTGCTCTTTAGCATCACATAAAAAAAAACTAAATAAACAGGACTGGGGTCTTGGCTCAGCAGTAGGGCGCTTCGCCTAGCAGTGTGAAGTCCTGGGTTTGATCCTCAGCACCACATAAAAATAAATAAAATAAAGGTATTGTACCCAACTACAACTAAAAAATAAATATTTAAAAAACCCAAATAAACAAAATAAAGGTATGTGTCCATTTACAACTAAAATATTTTTTTAAAAAACTGAGTTTTGATTAACAAACCAAAACTGAGTTAGGGTTATAAAATAACCTTTTTCTCCTTATAAGGTGATTATCTCAGGTATTTCTTACAGGAACAGCAAGTTGACTAACACTATTGGGAAATGATTAATATGTATTAACATGCTTGTCTAAGTTGGTCTCCTTCTAAGAGTCTGTGATTTTGAGAAAATCAACCATTGTATTCAGCAAAATATTATATTTTAACTTACAAAGTTCATTATGGAAATCTATAAACATAAGTATTTCTGACTTTGCTCATACCTGTTCAGTTTTACAGAGCTTTTCTATATTAAGCTTGAACTTATTCATGCAATCTTCTGCTAAATTAAGATGAACAACTTGCTGAAAAACAGAAGAAATCAATCATTTAAAGCATTTTAATTATTTTTATGCAAATGATAATATTAAAAGAACAATGGAGAAAACCATGGACTTTTGTGAAAGAAGGTAAACTACAAGTAAGGGAAACAGCTCAAGAAAGGAAGTGAAAATTGATGTGATCAAATGGAACAAGCAGGCTATGGTGGCACGCTGGCACATGCTACAAGTGCTGCATGTGAACTTCTGCTGCAATGTACAAGCAGTGTGTCACCTGTGTACCTTCTGTATACCGCCTGCCAGCACCTGGCCTTGTGTGCAAAGCACATTGAGGCCAGGATCCCCAACGAGCCCCGGTGCCTGCCAGTGCCTGTGAGGTCCACTATGGCTCAGGGAGGTAAAGCACCTTACCATCAGACTGTTTTGGCTTCAAGCCAAACACCTCCACCTCACAGCCCACTGCCACCACATCTTCCWAGCCTCAGTTTCCCTGTCTGCACAATGGGGATAATGTTTGCCTAGCTACCTCATATTATGATTTTACACAGAAGATGAAGGCAAGATTAATAACTAGAYGTCTGGGGGAATAAAGGGAGATAATCAACAAAAACCAGAATGGAAGTGCTGAATTTGTGATGAGTTTGGGAATAAAAATAAGGTGACAAAAAAATACAGTAAGGGGCTGGGGCTGTAGCTCAGTGGTTGAGCACTTGCCTTGCATGTGTGAGGCACTGGGTTCGATCCTCAGCACCACATAAAAAAATAAATAAAAAGATATTGTGTCCATTTACAACAAATACAAAAACAAAACCCCCCAAAACAGTGAGCTCCTAAAGGCCAACAGAAAAGGTTTCACTGGTTCTGACTGGAGTGCAACATGATAAAAGTATATAAAAGTTATTCTGACAGTGATATGGAAAAAGAACTGGAATAGCAGAGGAAAAAAAAGTTTATCAGAGCCCCCTGCCCCCACCAGCTTAAAACCTCCTTARTCTATTAATATATAACTACTAATATAAAGTAACATGTAGAATGACAACCACTGGTCAATATACTGCTGAATTCCTATGAGGTTGATAAATACTAAAATTATTCTGCTTAGCAGTTCAAGATAAAGACAAAAAAGTCTATGCTGGATTTGAATAAATCTAAATGACATATGTAGAAATGTTATTGGAAAGCTTAGATATTGGGATATTTCAGTCTTAAGAATTTTAGAGGACAATGCACAAAAAATATTCCATGAAAGACACTGCTAATCTTAACTACAGGACTGGCTAGAYCAATTAACTAATAATAATACAGTACCTTATAGACAATATTGCTTACCTTAGTAATCTGTTTACGGAAATGGGGCATCTTTTTCATCAGCTGGGTAAGAGCACTAAGTGATGTCTAAGAAAAATAAAAATATTTTGAGTAAACCTATGATTAATTTACTCTATGCTACAACTTTTAAATTCTGAAGTATTAGTTAAGCTACTAAATTTARTTAATTTACTAAACATTTGGCAAAATTTTATTTATTCATTTATATTTGGGTACTGAGGATAACATAGAGGTGCTTTACCACTGAGTCACATCCCCAGCCTTTCTTATTTTTGACACAGGGCCTCACTAAGTTGAGTAGGGTCTTGCTAAGTTGCTGAGGCTGGCCTTGAACTTGCGATCCTCCTGCCTCAGCTTCCCAAATTGCTGGGATTCCAGGCATGCACCACCATATCTGGCTACATTTGGCAAAGTTTTAAAAGAAAACTTTATGAAGCACTTAATTTTAGACAAGACAAAATAGATGATATCAAAATTATTCTCCCCCTACAAACAAAATTGAATGGACAAATAAATAAAACAAGAACTTTTAGGCAATGGATAAAAAACAGTTCTGAGTGAAGGAAAGTACAAAAGGTGATTCTTGCATTCACCCTGACTTCTCCCTGGAGATGTTTTCCAAACCACATTGAAAGTAAAGTCTGAGAAGAAGAAAACAATTATCTCTCTGGGAAAAGAAAAAAAAAAAAAAAGATTAGCGTTTGAAACTGCTAAGGYAGGATTTGGGGAGCAGGGTGCCAGAGAGAAAGGAACCAGGTAGAATATAACCCAAAATGTATAGTATGGTGTCCTTGGGCCCCTAATCTGCACACATACAGGGCAGAACTCTCAGAGGCCTAGTGGACAACTATTGGGTTAATTACTACACAGAGATTTGAAGGGGTCTTAGTGCTAAGAAAATGTTAACATTCTCAGATTCAAAGTAGAGACCTAATTGAACACCCTAAACATTTAGTCCTAGGACTACAACTTAGGTCTAAGTGCAAAAGTGAAATATACTCATCATAAACACCACCTGACATGAAGTCTCAACATAGTCAAGGTTATTCTTTAGCAATTTAACTACTTGCCAGATGAAACTTAACACTTAATGCAGAGAGAACGTCATCTGGAGTCTCTGCAATGTATAATACATTATGTCTAACGCACAATTAAAAATTAATAAGTAGAACAGGAAAGAGGTCAATATCCAAGTGATAAAATAGTCAATAAGTTTCTAAGAATCATGCCTGTAAATCAGGATTCCTAATCCAGAAACAATAGCCTTATGAGAGCCTGAAGGCATCATCAAAAGTAACTAGAAGTTAAGGGAAAAAAAAAAAGAGAGAGAGAGAGATAAGTGTCACAGAAGAATGGGTAGAGAATAGGGATGGGAGGGAAGGGAAGGGGAGGGGAGGATAGGGAGGGCAGGAGAATACAACTGACTCTAGGATTGCTATATGTATACACATGGATGTATAACCAATGTGATCCTGCAATCTGTACACATGGAAAAATGAGAATTCATACCCTATTTGAATCAAATGTATGATATGTCAAGATCACTGTATTGTCTTGAACAACTAATAAAAAAAAGTAACTGGAGGTGTATTAAGAATTGTAATGCAAAAAATAATAATAATAATTTAAAAAAAGAAAAAAACAAGTAAMTGGAATGAAGACTGCTGACAACTTTGATGACATAAATCTCTCAAGAGTCCCTCATTCATGGCATCTATACCAATGGCCTTGAAAAGTTCTCTGAAATGCAATAGCAAGTCATTATTCCTCGTATTAAGAGTTTTAACATGATGTTTAACATGAACGTTCAAACTCATCCTGGAAAAATGACAACATTTACCATCTTGATTCTGTAACAAACTAATTCTGAATTAGATCTAAAGGCTACACAGGCCTTGGTACTGGAATCCACTCAAGAATTGGATGAGAAGACTCAGGTGGCTATACCTCTGATCACATCCTTATTGGAGGAATCAATATACGTGTTGAGGTGCAGAAGCTACAGATGGAAGGTGACCATATCATTATGGGTACCCCTGACTATGTGATATGCTGTTATAATCAGAGATACCTGGCTCCCCAATACTAATATGTTTATATTGGATGAAGCTGTTGAAATGTTAAAAGCTATAGATTCAAGGAGCAGATTTATGACAAATTCCCAAAGCTCAACAGCAATACCTAAGTAGTTTTGGGGTGTTCAGCTACAATGTCTTCTGAGGTACTTGGGGTARCCAAGAAGTTCATGAGAGACCCCATTCCGATTCCTGTCGAAAGGAAAAGTTTATCCTGGAGGGTGTCTGCCAATTCTCCATTAACACAGAAYGAGAGAAGTGGAAGCTGAACACACTCTGTGACTTTATGAAACTGACTATCACCCAAGCAGGCATCTTCATCAACATCTGAACAAAGATTGATTGCTCACTAAGAAGATACATGCCCAAAACTTCACTGTCTCTGCCATGAATGGAGATAAAGACCAAGAATGAGATGTGATCATGAGGGATTTCCATTCAGGCTCTAGAAGAATACTGGTTACCAGTGACATGCTGGCCAGAGAAGCTGACATGCAACAGTTTTCTTTAGTCATCAACTATGACTTTCCCACCAACAGCGAAAACTACAGACACAGAATTGGTTTTGCTATAAGATTTTGGCAGTAAGGATATGGCTATTAACAACAAGAGGAYTCTTTGGGACATCACGACCTTTTAAGATACCTCTGTTGAGAAGATGCATCTGAGTGTTGCTGATGACCTCACATGTGAGGGCTGCCCTACCACAGAGCCTCAGCCAGCATTCAATCCTGGAAGGGGGAACGGAAAGAAACCAAGGGATGGATATTTTGTAATTTTTTTGTCTTGGAATAAATGTCATAATTTGAGGCTAAAGAATGAACTGTGAACATTTCAGACAACCTTTTCTTTGGGGTAGACTCTTGCCCCAGGTGCTGTCTCTCCCCCACAGACACTATACCATTTCCTTACCCTAGTCATCCTGAGATTCCAGAGGCTTTCCCCACTCCAGCAGAATTCCTTGGAAATGACTCAAATCTGCAGGGAGAATCCCTAAGTGAGGTTGCTCAGTGGACTGTCTCTTGGGAGGAGAAGGAGGGAGGAAGCAGAAAGGAGGGAGGTAAGATTGAGAGAGGAAAAATGGTAGCTATTTTAATATTATTTTGGATAGCATTTACTATTTCAAGAAACAATCATCAAATTCACAATAAAATGACTTGGAAACTACCACACAATCAAAAGTAGTCCCAAGAAGATCTAGATATTGGAGTTAGCGAAGATTTAAAAGTAACATGTTAATACTGAAGAAAGCAAAAGAAAAGAYGGACTACATAGATCCAAAAATGGAATATTTCAACAGAGAATTAGAATTTATTTCTTAAAAATTCAATGAATATCCTAAAACTAATTATAAGACTTTAAATTGAAAACAATGAATGACAGTCATACCATGCTGGTTGGACTCCAAAATGGTATCCCATCTTTGGAAAACACCTTGGAAGTTTCTTATGAATCTCAGCATGTGTATACCGTACGACAAAGCAACCCTACTCCTAAGTATTTCCCTAAGAGAATGAAAATATCTGTTCACAGATGTGAATGTCCACTGTGGGAAAAAACAATGCTTAAAGCAGTTTTATTCATGAATTCCAAAAACTCAGGGGAAAAAACTCAAATACTCTAAAACTGGTAATAAACATCCATGCAAATGGAATACTAATCAGGAATAAAAAGTAATAGACTCTCCTATTACATGTAACATAGATAAATATTAAGTGCATTATACTAAATGAAAAAAATCATAGTAGGTTATTTCAGTTATATGAMAACCTGGGAATGGTAAAATTACAGAGATAAGAAACAGATCAGTGGTTGCCAGGGATGGGGAAGTAGAGTTCAAAGACTGTCTACAAAGGGCATGAGGGAATTCTGGGGGGTGATGGAGCTATTCTAGTATCTTGACTATGGTGGAAGTTACATGAGAGTATGCATTTGTCAAAACTGTATACTATAAGGATAAATTTTATATTATTTGGGTTTAATAATAGCAGACTGGACATGAGAAAAGACAGAAGTAGGAAATTATTGAGGTTAACAAAAAATAGATCAACAGACAATATTCAATCATACAGGACTGGGGATAGAGTGCAGAGGGAAAGTGTATGCTTAGCTATGGAAGGTCAGAATTCAAACCTCAGTGACATAGAACAAATCAAGATGTGAGAAACTAATGGCCATGAATTTTACAAATATGAGTAAAGTTGTCAACCCAGTAATTACAGAAACTCAGCAAACCCCAGGGAGGATAAATGCCAAGAAAATTGTACATAGAAAGAAAGGCATTATCATGGTCAAATTGCTAATAATCAAAGAAAATATTACTAAAGGCACTCAGAGAAAAAATGATACATGACAGCTGGCTTCTTTAACAGAAATTATGTTAGTTAGAAAGTAATATACTGAAATCTTTAAATTGATAAAAAGAGGGAAGGGGGACAAACTTCCCAACTATAAATTCTAAATCCAGCAAAAGTATGTGAAAAACTTACAAAACAAAGATGTCCTTAGACAAAAAGAATGTTGAGAGAATTTAACCCAGCCCAGAAGAAGAAAAAACTAGAGAGCAATAGAGAATAAACAACACAAGTCTAGATACCTATGTGGGTAATAGAAAAGTCTACTGAGTGTTTAAAACAAACACACACTGAAGTAAAACACATGAAACAAAAGCACAAAAAAGGAAGGAGAAAATGGAACCAAACTATTATAAGGTTTCTGAATTATGTATGACATGCAAAAAATGTACTATAAGGTAATACACTTTATAAAATAGCCATACATTAAAAATACATAGTACAATAACTAAAAGAAGTATATTAGCCAGGCATGGTAGTACATGCCTGTAATCCCAGCAGATCACAAGTTCAATGCCAGCCTCAGCAATTTAGTGAGAGTCCCTGTCTCAAAATAAAAAGGAATAGGATGTGGCTTGGTGGTTATGTGTCCCTGGATTCAACCCCCAGTACAAAAACAAAAATAATAACAACAAAA